AGGCAGGGGGAGGGAGGGACAGGACTGTAGGACATCAGTCCTACACCCCTGCACACTGCTCTGTGTTGGCTCCCTGGCTGCCCTGGACTCCTGATGACTCAGGAAGATCCTGCCATAGCTGTGGGCAAGTGGAATCCCATGCATGCGAATGGCAGCAGCCCATGACCACACATTCACAGGACTATGATCACCCCCAGGGCCAGGCAGCAGGGGAGTGGGCTAAGGAGAGAGGTTAGCGCAGCACAGCAGGTCTTTGAGAAAAGAGCGTTAGGGACGAGTGGACTTGGCAGGTTTATTTATTTGATTTATATCTTGCCTTACAATAAACAACCAACCCACAGACAAGATTCCCCAAAGGGCAATGACAAATGGTACCTGCCTAAAGAGGCCTGCTGGATTTGAGGGTCTGTAGGTTGGGCAGATTCTTCCCTCACTTTTTGGGTGACCAAGATAGTGCATGGGCTGGGCCCCATTCATCCCCTGGAGGCAGAGGAGAGGGAGTGCAGCAGATTTTCACCCAAGGGAGGTCGATGGGCTTTGTAGAGGCTGCAGACTAGCCAGGTCTTTTGCCCTCATTTCCAATGTTTGGGATCCAGGAACATACCAGCTCCTTGACCCAGCTCTGCCACAGACTTACTGAACAACCTTGGGGAGGTCAATGGTTTGCTCAGTGCCTCTGTTGCCCCCTCTGTGTAACAACCTTTGCTGCTCTGGGACACAATACACAGAGAAAATGAAACACTCTGTACGGGAAGAGCTTCCAATCCAGAGTAACAACGGGTGGAAAGAATTTCCATTAAAATTCTCACGTTGCAAGCTGGCCCCATGTGGAAGTGCCCCTGCCAAGGGAGTTTAGAACGTATTGCTGAAGATGGGATGACAACAGCTTCAACCCTGGATTGCAACCAGGTCCACGGCGAGAGGAAGCACAGGCTGTGGGAGGATTTGAGATGGGGAGAGGTTTTGATAGATGCTATGGCAAGAGACCCAGGGCACCACCCTTTTCTGGCTCTATAGGCTAAGCACAGCCTGGGGCGTGGCCAGGGAACAATAGGGCAAGAGGAGGATTCAGAGCCATCACTGACACACATTAAAATCCTTTGTGAAAGACAGGATTGCCCAGTAGTTAGGCCACAAACCTGATTGTTGGGAGAGATCAATTCAGTTCCCTGCTCTGTCCTTGAAACCATGCATGACCTTGGACATGACACTTGGTCTGTTCTCCACTGGTACCATAGAAATAATAGCATTCCCTACCTTAGCGGGTAGTCCATTCACAGTGTTTGATGAAGTAGGCTGCAACCTACAAAAGGTCAAGCCTTTCTAAACAAGTTAGTCTACATTGCCGTCCTGCTCTGCCTCCCACCTTTCAGGGTTGTTGATAAATACACTAGACTGCAAAACACAAGTGCTGGGGGAAACAGAGAGAGACCACAGAGAGATTTCCAATGAAGGAAAGCTCTGCTTGCACTCTGCTTTAATGAAACCATGTAGCAAAAAATGAGTGAAGTGTATGGGAAGGAGTCTGGTAATCCAGTGCCTCAGGGCTGCTACTGGTCATTTTCCCCTTTCTAAAAGTATTATTTGGGTTCTGATGACATCCCTTCCCCGCTTCCCCTTGAAGCACTGGACATTGATCGGGGACAGAAGTGGGAGATTATGGGGAGCATGCACTGGTACTCCTAACCAGATCACCTGATGAAGTGAACTTCAGCTCAAAAGAACCATCAGGTTTGGGGTCTGAAAGGAATTATCCTTCAGGTCATACCAGCAAGGTCTGCTGCAGGCCATGAGCCGGATGCGGCTGGCCAGGCCATTCTATCCGAAACAATGTAGAAAATTAATATTTATCTGCCCTGGTTTGCCTTTCATGCAGCCCTCGATGGCTTGCCAAAACTCAGTAAGCAGCCCTCCGCTCAAAATAATTGCCTGCCCCTGGTCTCCTGGGAGTGTTGCCTTCCTCAACAGCATAATTTGGCTTACCTCCTATGATCATCTGAGGATATTTTACCTAACAAATCCCCTGAAATCACAGGGCCTAAGACACAGGTGATAGCTTTGCCTCTCCGTGTCTTCCTCCAGCACAGGCAGCTTTGTGTTGAGGCTGTGGTGTGCAAGTGGGGCTTGAGAAGACAGCTGTACGGGCCCTTTCAGATAAATGTTATAAGTATGTAGTTGTGAGTGAACACAGGAGAGACTGGTCTCAACGGTCCATACAATCCTCTCCTCACCTTGAGACATAAGATCCACCAGATCCTAATTCACCTACCACTTAGTGTAGATCCTCCAGGAACCAGGTCATACAGATGTTCCTGCTTCTTTGACTGCTGCCACAAACAATATTGTTCCTTCAGATGAAGCCCCATTAATGCAAAGCATTGCAGTCAGGACCCCTTCCAAGGATCCCATCATGGCTGACTTTTTACAAAAACCCCTGAGGCTGATAAGGCACCGTGCATCCAGGAAGAGAGAGAATTCAGGTCTGTGGCATCCAGGCACATCCAAACTTCACTTCCTTTTGTAGCTCCAGCTGGTTTTTATTCAGTCACCTTCTGTGTCTGCATGGAGGCTGCCTATCTTGCTGTGAAAAAGAACACAGTTTGTGCACAAACACAACCTGGCCCGTTTCCACATGCCTGTTAGGAAATCTGTATAAGCAGGAAGAGCATTTTGGGTATTATTCAAATTAGTGCATCTTGCTTGGTTCCATTACCTGAGCCCACTGGCTTGCAGAGTCTGTAAACCTGAAAGCTAAGACTAGTTTCTCATGTTTTATGGAAAGCCTGGTCAAGGTTTCAAAGAGGCTGGTGAGTGGGTGGTGGGGGAAGGGCAGGGCAGGGGTAATGTCAGGCCATGAGACGCAACTAAACAACAATACCACCCATACAATATCCCCTCAACCACGCTCCCAGCTACCTGCAAAGTGGGGACACCCTCCACTCTACAGAAAGGGAAATGGAGGCACACAACTGCTGTGTAGCTTATCCAGGCTCTCAAAATGAGAGAGAAGCCTATACAGGAGTGGACAGCACATCTGCCAGGTCCCAGAGCATATGCTGTCACACTGGTCTACTTATTTCTGAGCATTCATTTAATTATTCCATCTATTACACTAGCACCTACTGATCTCAGCTGAGCCCAAGGTCCATTAGACAAAGGAGCATACAAACAGTACAACTGCACTGCAGCTGGTGTAGGCACACCAGAGCTAGCTTTACATGAGTCATCTTAAGTACTGTTAGCAGGGCAGTCGCATTACTACTGAGCGCAGGGAAGGTTGCTGACCTACCCGAGCAGGTGGTGACATACTCCAGCAATTACACATGCTGAGCTCCATGCTGTAGCTGTTATCATAGCAGTGAGCACGGGTACATTTATTCAAGCTGAAGAACAGGCATAAGCTAATGTCTCAGGGTAAATCAGTGTTACAATCAAAAGAGAAACATCCAAGGGGAAACTGAAGCACAAAAGGAACAGAGCTGCCCCATGCGTTACATTGGGTCACCAGCAGAAATTTGAGTTCAGGTCTTCCAAGTCCCAGTCCCAGTCCCCTGTCTTATGCTCTAGACCAGGGATTGTCATCTGGGGATACGCATACCCCTAGGGGTACTTGGGAAGCCCCCAGGGGGTACACAGCAGCAGAGTGGAGAAGCAGGGGGCACTTCTGGTTTTGCCACCAGCCCCACCCCCCCTCCTCAATCTGCCTCTGGGGGACCCCCCCACCCCAGCTAGTCAAGCAGCTGGGGGAGTCCCTGCTTCTGGACTGACCACTGGGGGTACACCAACCAAAAAGGGTTGAAAACCCCTGCCCTAGACTGTGCTGCCCCTGCTGCTAGTAGAGTGAGATCAGGGGCTTCTCTCTCCAAGCTCTGCCAGGGCTCTCAGACAGGAAAGGTGTGCATCACACGCAGGAGTAAAACTGAGGAGGCTGTATCCTCACTGCACAATCTGAAAACACGAAGGGAAGAGGGGACTGGAACGAGCATGGGACTGAAAGAGGGCTCAGTGCAGCTTGCTAAATTTTCTTGGCTCAACAACCCAGTAGTAGCATCCACTAACATGGCATTGCTGTGAAGGCAGATGCTGCCATAATCGTACCCAAGAGGCAGTCATTGGCATGAAGAAAAGGCTGGCTAATGCAAAATATACTTTCCACCTTATAAGCGTGTAAACATGATTCTTGGCTGAGAAAGATGCATCAGTTCTCTTAACACTTTCCCCAGCTCAAGCTGCCAAACTTGTGGTTAACAGGTTTTACCTCTTGCACAGTGTTGGTATTGAGCTGCCAAGGGAGCAGCATTCATCTGTAATTGTGGTGGAAAGGGCCAGACTTCAGAGCAGCTGCACAGCCTGGAGGGGCCAGACAAACCTCACGGGATACAGCACAGCACCTCCCATCACACACCACCTCCCTGTTGCTGCTCAGCCTGCCTTGGGCACCTGGGTGATCACGCCATGCACTAAACAATGAGAGGTTGTGATGGGGAGCCCATTAAATAAATATTAAAACTTAAGCCATGCAATGTTACCCTGGAGACACCTTCCCAGTGAGGGAGGAGGGGAAGGGAGTGGGGGCAGGGGGAAGTCCCTTTGGCAGAAAACTGTGCGTTTGGCTTTGACTCTTGGCTCAGTTTTACAAGTGCGACAACACTGAGCTTTTACCTACTACCAAGGGAGGCGATTTGGGTGCGACTGACTTGTTGCCACATGCTGGAGGGTGAAAACCTCTGGTTGGCAGAGTCCAGCATGCCAGCAAGGTAAAGAACAATCTGTGCCTCAAAGCAGGAAGAAGGTTCACCTCATAAAAAACCCTTGCAGATTTATCGTGATTCTGCGTTATTTGCAGAGAAAAAAAAGCTAACTGCTGCCCCAGCAACTCCCACGGGCCAAAGCTCCCACCATCTTCTTCAAGCAGCCCTCTGGGGAAAGCAAGCAGTGGCTTTGCCACCCCCTGCACTGCCCACATCCATT